TTCAAACCTCAATCCTCCTGATCTCTGCCTCCTGAGTTGCTAGGATTACAGGTGTGAGCCACCACACTTGCAAGTTTCCAAGTGAATCCTGAGTCTTCATCTTACCTGACCTCTTAACATTTGTTGTGTTTGGCTATCTTCTTCATTTCACTGACAGCGTGCTAAATTTCCTTGGTTTCTCTAATACTGTCCCAGCCAACTGCCCCTATACCGTATTTGCTCAAGTATCTTGTGAAAACCAAAATAGAACTTAAGATCATGTACCCCACTTGTTCTCCCGCAGTCCTCCTCACCCCAGTAGGTGATCTCATTTATCTGGTTGCACAAACCAGAAACCTGAGAGGTTTTTATTCCTTTTTTGGCAGTAGTGGGGCTTGAACTCAGGGCCTACACCTTGAACCACTCCACCAGCCCTTTTTTTGTGATGGGTTTTTTCAAGATGGGATCTCTTGAACTATTTGCCTTGTCTTGCTTCGAACCATGATGCTTCTGATTTCTGCTTCATGAGTAGCTAGGATTATAGGCATGAGCCACCGGTACCCGACCTGGAAGAGTTCTTTATTAATCTGTCCTTTAAGCTCGCATCCCCTGCATTGGCAAGTCTGGTTGGCTCTGCTTCAAACCTTCTCACTTTTTTTCTTTCTTAGTCATGCGGTCCCCATCATCTGTGTCTCTTCACTGGTCTGCTCCCCTCGATATTCCATCCTCTCCATGGTAACCAAACTGAATTACTTTGTTTTAAAGAAGTTGAAACATTTAGATAGGCTTTTATTTTTTGCATGGTCCTGGGGATTGAACCCAGGGCCTTGTGCATGCTAGCTAAATGCTGTAACACTTAGCTGCACCCCCCAGTCCCAAACTGAGATTTTTGATATAAGTCATGCTACAATCTTCTGCTTAAACCTGTCAGTGCTCTCTTGTTGCACTAAGAAGTTATACTCAGAATGAAATGCAAAGCTTTTACATTGTGTTCACACCCTGCTTCGCTCCCTAGCTCACTCCATTCAAGCTGCTTGGCTCTGTCTGTTCTCAAATGTAATAAAGCCTCCTCTGCCTTGGGTACTTGGGGCTTACCTTTCTTGAAATAGTCTTATATGGAGTTTGCCTGCTTCCCTTTCCACACATGAGGCACTCAGCTGATATGGCTTGAATGAATTTGATAGTCCTAGGAGCTGTGAGCCATGAATGGAATTCAGTGGCTTCATGTAACCTGCAGCACATCTTGTGAATTCAAAGGTCGTGGTGTAAAAACTCTGGCCCTTTCCTTCCCAGAACTTTGACAGGGAACTTGTCAGCAGAAGTCAAAGCAGCAAATCTTTAGAAAGTCCGCTGTGTGTGAGCAGCATGGGACAATGCTGAGAGGAAGGGAGATAGATGGTGGTCACAGATGAACTCTGACCCTGGTCCTCCTTTGCATTAGCTGTGGCAGGGTGCATACTGGGGCTTGAACTGAGGGTCTTCACCTTGAGCCACTCCACCAGCCCATTTGGTTTTGGATAGGGTTTTTTGAGAATAGGGGTTTGTGAACCACTTGCTCTGGCTTCGAACCGCAGTCCTCCTGATATCAGCCTCCTGAGTAGTTAGGATTACAGGCGTAGCCTCCAGCGCTTGGTTTACGGCCTCGGTTTTCTTTGTCAAGGCAGACATGGGTACTTCCCTGTGGAAGCATGACGACCTGCCCTGATGTCTGGAGACTCCTGAAGAGAAATTGTGTGCAGTATTTAGGATGTGTGTGCTTTTTCCTCAAGAGAAAATGATGAGTCGCAATTGAGGTTTTGAGGTGTAGTGTACTCAGTACCTGGTACTTAGTTCTCCATGAGTGGTGATTACTGCTGCTGGTGCTCTGTGCACAGTAGTGTATTTGTACCTTTTCTTTGAGACAAGTTCTTGTTATATAGTCCTGGGCTCAAGTGATCCTTTGTCCTAAGTCTGCTGGGGAGCTGGGACTAAAGGTGCTTGCTACTCCTGCAGGCTCCTGCAGCTGAGCAATGGCAGTGGTTCCCACCAGGGTGGTGATTGGAGAAGTGGAAGGAAGTGAGGGACAGTGCTGCCCTATGTAAGTTTTATGTCTGCTTAAGTATTTTGTAGGATTGGTTTCTAGAGGGAGTAATGGCAACTAGCACCTGTTGAGTGCTGACTGTGTGCCAGGCAGTGTTCGGAGCACTTTTTGTGTCACTGAGCCATAAATGAGCTGGAGTCGCAGGGGTCCTGGCGTGCTTGAGGACTAAAACATAAAGGCAGTCAGAGTCCGTACAGCCATGTGAGAACGTGGGCCATGGAGTGATGTGGAGCATGTGGGATTTGTTGTTGGGGCCCGGGTTTGTTGTTCAGCCCTGTGGCTGAGAGAGTTTTGCAGAGGGAGTGCCGGGAGAAGGTATTCAGTAGGGTTGTGGAGTCTGGGGGAACCCTGACCAGGCAGGGGAGGAAGTGTGGAGTGCTGTGCTCAGCAGTGAGAATGTGGGGGTGGTAGGAGAGTGGCTGCTAAAGCTGGAGAAGACCAATACTAAATAGCTTCAAGGGTTTTTGTTTTTGGTGGGACTGGGGTTTGAACTCAGGGCTTTGTTCTCGCAAAGCAGGACCTCTCCTGCTTGAGCCACGCCTCCGGTTCATTTTGCTCTGGTTATTTTGGGGGTGGGATCTTATGAACTATTTTGTGATCCTCCTGCTCTCTGCCTCCTAAGTAGCTTGTGTTACAGGCATGAGCCACCAGTGCCTGGCCTGGGTAGCTTTAACTGCTGGCTTTACTTTTTATTGTTTTTTTTCTGCCAGGGTTTTTGAAAATCCAGATTCAAACCTGTTCCTAAGCCCTTTTAGAATGAAGACAATGAGGATGGAGGAGTTAATTAAGCTCGACTGACATCTGTTGCACATCTGATACGGGCCAGGTGTTATGCTGGATGCCTGTGCACACACAGGCCTGTGTTGTCCGAGGGATTAAATGACATGAATCCAGAAACTCTGAGTTATTAACCCCACCTTGGAGGTGAATAAACTGAAATTTCAGTGGTTATGAGTCACCCAGTTAAGAAGTGGCAAGCCACAGTTCACATGCAAGTGTTCCACTCAGAGGGCGTTAGTGATCTGTAGTGCCCATCTCTGAAGGAGTGTCAGGGGCCACAGAGTTTTAGGAAAAGTTAATGGGTTTGGAGATAGGAGGCCATTGGCAAAGGTCATTGATGGTGGTCTTTGCTTTTTTTTTTAGAGACAGGGTCTCACTACGTAGCCCAGGCTGGCCTCAAACTCGAAATCCTCGTGCCCCAGTCTCCAGAGTGCTGGAATTACACGTGTGCACTACCACACTCGGCAGCCAGGAGGCTTATTAAAGACTCTTAGTCTAATTACATGAAAGTGCCATAAAACTAGAGTCAGTTTTGGAAAGGAGCTCCTGATGTTCTTCCAAATCTTGGTGCTTGAAGAGAATTGGCTTGTTACATGAATTAGTAGCAACTCAGTGGCCAGCAGAATTTGAATTTCTGTGAGACTATTTTGAGTTCTTACTAATCCTTTTCAGTGAAAATAATGACACACTTGCTTCAGGAATATTCATGGGTGTGTGTACAGGACGCTGCCCAACATCGTGATGGCAGTGTTCGCTGACACAGGAAGTAAGGTCTGCTTTTGCTTTTCACATCTGAAGAAGCCTGATTGTGAAGCACTGTGGTTGAGGAGATTTGCCATAGGCTGTTGGGGTGGGACCTCACCTGCCCCCCACTCCTTGACCTCAGTGTTGCCTTGGGATAACCTTGCCTCTGGCTGCCTTGTCCTTATCAGATGTCACTTTACAGACAGGTCTGAACAGGTGCTTGATCCACCCTCTCTTTATGCTGCCCTGTATTTTGCTTCAGTTTAAATGGTATCCTTCTCACTGCCTCTCTGCTGAGCTTGATAGGCTGAGCCCCCGGCATCCTCCCTCACCCTAGCTTTGACAGCTTCTCCCTCACCATGCTTTCTTTCCTGCTTAAATAGTCCACAGTCCTTCCAGCCTTCAGTGCCTGTGAGAGAGCCTTCCTGATGTGGCCCCAGTTCTAAAACCTACTTTCCTCCATCCAGCCCCTGTGCGTGGTTGTTCTGCTGCCTGTTTCTGACATGCCAAGCACTCCTCTGCCTCAGAGCCTGTGCACTGTGCACTTGTTGCTTTCTCTAGCTGGGATGCTTTGTTTCCAAATACCCATATGTTCCTTATTTATTTGCAGTACTGCGGCTGAATTCAGGGCTTTCTGCTTGGTAGGAAGTCATTCTACCTCTTTAGCCATTCCTCTAGCAGTTGTTGCTCTGGTTGTTTTGGAGATGGTGTGTTCATTTCACCCAGGCTGGCCTGGACCACGATCCTATTTTGTGTGTCTTGCCTTTGCTGGGATGATGGGCACGCACCGCCACACCCACCTTTTTCTATTGTGTTGGGAACTTGGGGACTTCATACCTGGGCTGGCCGGAACTGCTATCCTCCCTGTCTTGTAGCTTGGGATGACAGGTGCATGCTGCCATGTTCAGCCACTGGTTAAGGTGGGGTTTTGTGAAATATTTGCCTAGGCTGTCTTCAAAGTACAATCCTTTTGGGAGAAGGCAGTACTGGGGTTTGAACTCAGGGCCTCACCCTTGCTAGGCAGGTATTCTACCACTAGAACCACTCTGGCAGCCCTTGCTCTGGTTATTTTGGAGAACCCAGGCTGGTTTTGAACTGTGACTCCTGATCTCTGCCTCCTTAGTAGCTAGGACTAGCCTGAGCCACAGTGCCTGGCTATGTTGGTTATTTTCAAGATAGGGTTTAGCCCTCTATATGGGATGATCTCTACCTCCCTGTAGCTAGGATTATAGGCATGAGCCTCTGGTGCCAATCTGTAAGTATTTGTTGAGTGACTTTTTCTGTGTAGGGTGAATTGGAATCTGTCTGTTTTCTAGATTTCAGAGTGTGATGATTCAGTGCATTGAGTGAAAACCATTTTTCCCTAGGATTTTGTTGTTCTGTACTATCGGGTCCACCAACAGCGTGTCTCTTACAGGCTGCGGGCCTCCCGGGTGCTCATTGTTGGCATGAAAGGACTGGGGGCTGAAATTGCCAAGAATCTCATCCTGGCTGGAGTGAAAGGACTGACCATGCTGGACCATGAACAGGTGCGCTGCTGTCACTGTCACTGCCCTTTGTTTCCCTCTCCCTTTGTGTATCTTGTACTGTGAAAGGAAGGCTAGCGCTAGTGCCTGAGACTGCAGATGCCAGCACCGGGTGACCCTGGCCAGTCTGTAAAGTGCTGTCTTTAGTGACATGTCCTCTGAGGGTGCTTATGAGGAGTATATGGAGTGATTTTCCAATCTATGCCTAAAAACCCCCATGTAACTAACAGAAAATGCAGAGCTGCCCAGAGGCCTTGTGGGGTAACTTTTACCCCCAGTGATTCTGATTTAGGCCTGAGACGAGGCTCAGGAATATGTACATTTATTAAGATGTCTTGCCTGGGTTCAGGGCTCACGAGTATAATCCCAGTGCTCAGAATGCTGTGAGTTCGAGGCCAACCTTAGGCAGCAAGACCTTGCCTTAAAAGAAAGAAAAAAGTCAGTGCCAGGCAGTTTTTAGATGGCTCACAAACATTATTTAGTACATTGAATCAGAGAGGATGAGTGTGTACAGCTTAGCTCTGTTGCACACCAAGCACCCTGTAATCAGCACACGACATAATGCTATTTAACAGATAATACAGGGCAGGAGCCACTTCCTCGGATGTGACTTCTTCGAGGTGAAGATAAGTGCTGCGCTCCACGTTCTCGTGCCTCAGTGACAGTTTAGTTTTCTTTCATAAACATTTTTCTCTGGGGATGTGGCTCAAGTGGTAGAGCACCTGCCAAGCAAGTGTGAGGCCCTGAGTTCACCCCAGTATGATTCTCCTACATCATCTTCCCAAGAGCTGGGATTACAGGCATTAGCTGTCACACCTGGCAGCTAAAGTAAAATTACAGAGAAGAATACTTGATACCCTACCTGTCTGTCTTCTATAGATACTGATAGTCTATTGACCTTTTGGTCGTTGCCCCTGTGTTTTCTTGGACACCTTGGATCCTTAGATCCTGTTGGTAGAGCACTCGGCAAGACGGACATCTCCCAAGCCATGCTGCCCTCTAAAGCCAGGAGACCTCATCTAGAGGAAGACTGGTGTGAGGAGTGTCAGCACCGAGGTCTCCACTGAGACCCAGGGTGCTGCCTCAGAAACTAGGCAGAGACAATGACTTCCTCACTGGGAATCTGAGAAGGGGACGGTCACACACTGAGAGGGGTGTGGTGTCCGTGCAGTTGCACATCAGAACAGGAATGAGAGCTGCTCAGTGGTGGAGTGAGCGGACTGCTTATGTTCCCTCACCTCCTCACTGGGAGGGCTGTGGCACCTCCACCTCTCCAACGTGGTGGCCCTCAGCCCCAGCTGTACATACAATATCTGGGAAGTTACTGAAAAATCAAACTTCTCCCACCCTCTTACAAAGGCACGTTTTGGTTCCCTACCTTTGGACATGTAAGACTTGGAGGCAAAGACATGGATGTGGAGAAATCTGGGGCTAGCTCGCTCCCTGTAGGCTCAGAACCAACCAGAACACACAAACACCCCAAAATGAGTCTCATAGGCATGCAGGTTTGACACAGGCTTCACGTAACCCAGGGCTTACCTGGCCCAGTTCCCATCAGGTGCAATGAGCAGTTCGTGAACACAGCGTGATGGTTCTTCCCTGACCGAAACTCCCCAGGGAGGCAGTGCTGCAAAGACTCTGAAATAACATAGACTTGGGGCAAATCCCAGCTCTTCTGGCGAGACCAGGGCTTAACCTTACACGCTCATCTCTAACGCTGAGCTTTCTGCTTAGCTTGTGTTTAGGGAGCACGTGAGCGCGCTGCTGGTAACACGGAGTATGCGAGGCGCTCAACCCAAAGGTGCTCACAGTTTGGCTCCTGTTCTCAAGTTTTATCCAGAAACCAGGGTGGGTGCCTGACTCCGATTGTGGTAGGAAGACATGGAAGGCTTCCTGAGTTCTCATCTGACCTCAGTCTTCGAGAACGAGGAGGGGTTTATCAACGTGAGAGGCAGCACGCATCAGAGTAGCACGTAACTGCCTGGTAGCATGGCAGAAATAAGATACGACAAGTACTTCGATGTGTTTAGAGAGAGATGCTACGTAGTGGGGGTGGGACAGGCTGCAGGTGAGGTCCAGGTCCCCAGGGCCTCCAGGACACCCCACTAGAAGCCTCTGTTCAAGCCTGTACGTGGAGATTCATTGGACAGTTTCAGGTGCGGGGGAATGGGATCTGGTTCTCTTTGCTCTGGGCACTAGTAACACTTTACTTTTGACTTTATTTTTTTGCAGTGGTGGCGTTTGAACTCAGGGCCTGCATCTTGAGCCACTCCACCAGTCCTTTTTTTTTGTGACTTTTTTTTAAGATAGGATCTTGTGAGCTGTTTGCCCAGGCTGGCTTTGAACCACGATCCTCCTGATCTCTGCCTCCTTAGTAGCTAGGATTATAGATGTGAGCCTCCACCGTCCAGCCTAATAGCACTTTATACCAGTAAAAGAGACCACTATTGTTGGGGCAGATCACTAGTTAGATCTGGAAAGTTTGTTTGGGTAGATCACTATTCACTATCTATTACCATTGGCCCAAGGACGGGGAGAAGACCACGTAGAAGGCTGCTTCGGTAGCAAAGGCTGAGGCGCTAGAGGCGACAGGAAGCGTACTGGTGTGGCAGAGATGATAGAACCCATGGGGGCGTGTGTATGGACGCCTAGGGAAGGTGACACTAGGCCCTGTTTGTAAGCTGTGGTTAGATTGTCTCACCTAGTTCTTGTGTAGCTCTGGGATCTGCGACCTGTTGCACCATCCCTGTTTTATGGATAAGAGAGCTGAAGGTGGCAAGGAAGTCCTGGACACGGGTCCCACAGCAGCAGTTGAGGCAGTGTGACTCCCATGCCTGTGTGTGCCTTAGCTCTTCACTGTGTGGCTGTGGGCTGGGAGATTCCAGGGATATGAAGACCAGCTTTCTGCTGAGGGTGGCTGGGTGGATGTTGGTGACTGGATGGCCCTTTCAATAGAAGACCCAGGTGGATCAGGAGGAAATGTGCACCAGTGTGTTGGCTACTGTTCATTGCTGTGACAAAGTACCTGAGAAAGCTAACTAAAGGAGGGGAGATTGGTTTTGGCTCCTGGTTTCAGTCCACAATTGTTGGCTCTGTTACCATTGGCCTGTGGAGAGGTAGAGCGCCCTGGTGGCAGGAGTGTGTGATGGAGGAGGCTGCTCACTTCATGCCTGGTGGCAGGCAGGCAGAGAGACACGAAGAGGTTGGGGACACAAAATGCCCTTCAAAGGTACACCCAGTAGCCCCTTTGCTCCAGGCAGTGAGCTCGTGGGCTCATTCGGTGCCCTATGAGCCACTGCCTGCCCCAGAGCCCCATCTCTGGACGCTGCACTGGGTTTTTTGTAGTTTTTTCTTTTTTTGGCAGTACAGGGGTTTGAACTCAGTGCCTCACACTTACAAGATAGGCACTCTACCACTTGAGCCACACCCCCCTGGCCTTGGATGCTGCACTGGGGTCAAGCCTTTCACAAATGAACCTTTTGCGGGACACTTCGTATCCAAACCTTAACGTGGTTGGTGTGAGTTGAGAAATGACAGATTTTGGTAGAAACTGGAAGAGACATTGAGCTTATGGAGCCGTGCAAAGGGAAAACCTGAGTGGTCCTGGTATGGAGTCTTTGGGCCACCAGCACCCGAGATGCATGGAGGCTGGCATGTCTGTGAGAGGAGGAGATGAGAGAGCCAGGATCTGAGAGGGCAGAGGTGGAGCGCTGCAAGGTGGATATGACCTGTGGGCTGTAGTGGTGACTGACGCTGGTGGAGGAATTCGTGGTAGCGTATTATGTGTGATCTGCGAATGCTGACACAGGGTCACTCGGTAGATGGTTAAACCAGGAAGTGAACCAAAGATGTGAAGCCAGCATGAATTGTTCCAGGGCCCTTGCTCCTAATCATTGTGATGTCCAGTGTCTCAGGACAGAGTGAGACCACTGGAGGAGCAGGCCAGGTGGCCGGAATGGGAGGAGGGCCTGCTCATTATCCTAGCTGAAGGCAGTGAGTGAGCTGTGGCTGGCTGGAGGAGTTGAGGGGGATTACCTCTGTTGAGCTGGGTCTTAGTGATGGTGGTGAAGTCATTTTCGAGGTTAATGATGTATGAAGAAATGCCTGTGAGCAGTTTGCACCTGTAACCTGCCAGTGGCTTCCAGGCATTAGTGTCCTCTGTCTGAAACTGTGCTGCTGGCATCCCACTCCACTCCAGGCCCACTCCTCTCTCCTCTGAGGTGTGGGTTTTTATTTTAATACTTCTGATCTGGGGATTGAACCAAGGGCCTCATGCACACGAGGTAAGCACTCTACGCCTGAAGTATGGTCCAGCCCCTTTGAGCTTTGAGTTTTAAAGTTCATATCAAGCCTACTTAATTCTGTCAGATTTTTTGCACTGTTTTGAGTTTAAGATCCCTTGTAAACAAGCATAGGATCCTTAAATTATGTATGTATTTACCTGAATGCTTAAAATTGGGCACACGGTGGGTTCTTATCACTAGTAATTGTTATTCTTGTTAGTTCCGAATTTAAGAGTGAATTTCCATGATAAACACAAGGGGGCACTCCTTAGCCGTCCTGTTAAAGCCAGCCTTTCAAATCGAGAGCACTGCCTGTATTCGGCAGGTGGCTGTGTGAACACAATGCAATTTAATGGTAGGGTTTCTATTGTTTTTTTTAATGGTAGGTGTTTTAGCTTTCCTCTAAAGTAGAAAGGATCATTGTCTTTGGGATTCATTTTTCCAGAATTCAATAGTTAAGAAAAAAATCATTCCTAGGTATCTCCGGAGGATCCTGGAGCCCAGTTCCTGATCCGTACCGGTTCTGTTGGCCGAAATAGGGCTGAAGTCTCTTTGGAGAGAGCCCAGAATCTGAACCCCATGGTGGACGTGAAGGTGGACACCGAGCACATTGAGAAGAAACCCGAGTCGTTTTTCACCCAGTTTGATGCGGTGAGTTTCCTGCAGTGAGTGTCAAAACTGCTTGGAGAGTCAAGCCAGTAGTTGGAAGGTGTCCTTGAGCAAGAGCCCTAAGTTCCGAGCTTTTCCCTAGGGAGTTTACAGTACAGCACATAAAGAGTTGCTCAGTAGGTCCAGTCTGTTGGACCCGTGGTAGCTGTTGGTGACGTGCTGTCTGCTGGCTGCTTCTCTGGGCATATGTTCCCCCAGACCAGGCTCGTCTTCCTTCCAGAGTCTTGGCACGCAGCACTTTATACAGATTATTGCAAATGTTTTCTCCTAAAAACTAAGCAAGTTGTGCATTCATTTTGGCTGGAAATACCAAACTACAGCTTGTGTTTTGTCTTGGGAAAGAGCACACCTGATCTCAGTGGGTCTGTCCTTGTGTTTTGCCCAGCCGCCTAGACCACGGGGAACTTGACAAAATCCGTGTAGTCTTAAGACAAACCAGGCACATCGGGGGTCATTTGTAGGTACTGCCAAAGCCATGGGAGGAGAGAGAAGTTACATTCCATGTCAGCGTCCCTGACCCCAGGAAAGCTCAGCAGGTCCTGGGGGACAGCCGCTTGTTTCTGAAGTGAAAGACCTGTTACGTGAGAGGTTCGAATTGGGGCTGGGGAGTTTTTTCCACACTTGCATTTTATAGTTTATGTGGTCTGCTCAGACATGAGCTTGGAACCATGGATCATCTGTGTTTGTCATTTTTTTCTTTTTTTCTCAGGCCTTTCTATTTTGTAACTCCCTGTCCATTTGGACAATAAGTCTTTGCTTCATTTCCTTACATAGTAACCGCATTTGGTTGATTCTAGGTGTCCCTTGAACTTGGAGAGTTAGTGAGAGGGTTTGTTAGGGCAGCTGCGTGGTGCACTTGTTTGTACAATCCTGATCTCAGCCTCCCAAGTAGCTAGGGTTATAGCCTCAAGCCACCAGTGCCCAGCACTTTCCTGCCTTTAAGTGTGATGTTTTCCTTGGGTGGTTGCATCCTTTGAAACACCAAAGGAGCACATTTCTCTAGGGTTACTTTCTATCCAGGCTGCTAGACAGCAGTGAGAGGGTCTGTCAGCTGCAGTGGTCTTCTGTTCGGGAGAAAGCGTGTGTAGTTTGGAGTTGGCTTTTTCTTTTTCTGGCAGTACTGGGGTTTCAACTTAGGGCCTCACACTTAGCACTCTACCACTTGAGCTACGCCCCCAGCCCATCCCTTTTTGCTTTAGTTCTCTTTCAGGCAGGGGCTGGTATATTTTGCCCAGACTGGCCCAAATCACAATCCTTCTACAAAAGCTTCCCAACTAGTTGGATGTGACAGGCTTGTGCCACCCAGCTGAAATGGGGCTCTTGGTAACTTTTTGCTTGAGCCGACCTTGACCCATAATCATCCTGATCTCCCAAGTAGCTGGATTACGGGTGTGAGCTACTGTGCCCAGCTATGGTCATAAAGCTCCCAGAAACTTGGTACTCTGTGCTGTAGAGCTAAGCAGTTTTTAGTATCTCTTACTGGACCGTAACCTGGAGGCCACAGAGAAACTGGTAACTCCACCATCTTGTGGCTTGAGTCAGCATGCAAAATCATTTGAACAGTAACCTTTTCTTTTGTTCTGAAATTTAGATAGTTTCACACTGTAGTGTGGACAAATAATCCCAGATTTGTTTATCGCCTTTTTTTTTTTGTACCAGGGTTTGAACTGGACCTAGTGCTTGCTAGTTTACTAGTTGGGCACTCACCGCTCCAGTTTCTCTTTCAATTTAGTTATTTTTCAGGTAAGATTTTGCATTGTTTTGTGTGAGACTGACCTTAGACCTCCATCCTCCTACCTTTGGCAACCACATAGCTGGAACCACAGGCACATGCCACATGCCTAGCTTACTGATTGAGATGGGGTCTTCAGCCTTCAACTGCTGTCCTTCCAGTCCTTCTAGTTTCTGCCTCCCAAGTAGCTGGGACTTAACTTTTTTTTTTCTCTTGCTCTAGATATTGTCGATTTTATTGAGTTTTTCAAAAGGCCAGATTTTTGTTTCACTATTTTTTTTTTTTATTGGTTGGTTGGGGGGCACATGTGGCATTTACAGAAGTTCTTACAGTATTATCAAATATATCATACTTGAGTTCATTTCCTCCACCACTGTCCTTTATCATCCTCCCTCCCCCCTGGGATTAACATAGTAATCAAAAGAAGGGGTGATGGGGGACTCTTAGGACTTTTGGGGCAATTACAAAGTAGTTTTGTGCCGGGTACACAGGAGGTGGAGATCAGGAAGATTGCGGTTTGAAGCCAGCCTGGGCAAATAGTTTGAGAGACCTTATCTCGAAAATACCCGCCACAAAAGAGGACAGGTGGTATGGTTCAAGGTAAAGGCCCTGAGTTCAAACCCCAGTACCACACACACACAAAAAAAAAACCAAGTAGTTCTGCTTCTCTGTACCATACTTGGATTACAACAGCTTTAACTACTGCTAAGTTATTTCTGTCTTTTTCATGAGAGTTAGAATGTGGGTCACGTGTGTTCATGGATTGGGGGAACATTCTCTGAATGGCTTCTACTTTCTAGCCAAACACATTTCTTTTTGTTTCTTTTTTTTTTTTTTGGTTGTACATTTTCTACACACTGAAACCTGCGACTTCTCTTTTGTCTCCTAATCGTAGCATCCAAAGAACCTGTTCTACAAAGTTGAACTTGGCCTTACACCTGCCTGGGGAGACTGTTCACTAAGACTTCTGTAAACATCAGGCAGTGCTTCACTTGCACAATTTACAGCGGCCAGTTTCTTTTTTCCTGCAGGTGTGCCTGACTTGCTGCTCCAGGGATGTCATAGTTAAGGTTGACCAAGTCTGTCACCAAAACAGCATCAAGTTCTTCACTGGAGATGTTTTTGGCTACCATGGATACACATTTGCCAATCTCGGAGAGCATGAGTTTGTAGTGTAAGTATTGGGAGAGGAGAGGAGATGGAACACTTCAAAATTTAGTTTTATGTACAGTGGGACATGAACCATGTAAGAAAAGCCCTGACTGTCATGCCTAGAACATTCTGAAACCAAGCTGTTAACAACTTACGGAGTCTGGTTTATTATGAGTTTGGAATTGTAGGTGATTAGGCCCCTGCCCTCCAAAGCGATGGGCTGAGTAAGCCTAAGCAAGCAGAGCTCTATACAGTAAAGTCCACCCCTGGATGCTGGGTCTTCTGGACTTCAGGTTTGAACCCATGTCTTCCACGCAGCAAAGGCTTGCTGGTTTGTGTTTGCAAGTTTTCAGGTTGAGAGAGAGAGAGAGCGTGAATGGGCAGGGAAATGGGTAACCTTGAAGGTACGTTCAACCAAGTCTACCTTGGAAAAGTACCAAGGCCCTGAGATTCCTGGGGGCATTGGCAGACCTTACCTCGAGTTTTGAACATTGAGGTTGCACACCTTGCTAACTTACCTGCTGGGCCAGGGGAAAGATGGCAGATAATACAGTAGTGTGCAGCTACCTGACTCGTTCTCTTTGGCTTCCCTTGCTAATGCGAGACAGAGAGATGCAGTGTGGTGGGCGGAGCTTCCTCCCAAAAGCCTTGGGCAAGCCACTGCTAGTTCCCTGGTCTGCACATTTCTTCCCTGTTTGATTGAAGTGGGAGACGTACAGCCACATTCAGGATCCCTCCTAACTCCAGTGCTCTGTGGCGTTAGGAATATACCGTTCTTTGGACATGTTAAATAGGTAGGCAGAGAACAGGCTGTTACTTTAGCATGGGCTTCTCATAGCAGGAGAAGAGAGACTTGGCCACTCAGCTCATGATGGCAGGAGAATGTCTTCAGGGCCATCATTTTGCTTGCTGAGGGTTTGTATGTGCTGGCGGTGTGCTGACCAACACATACTGGTTCTTCTGCCATAGTCACGGCAGGATTGCTCTTCCCACAGTGCGGGTAACTTGTCAGAGGGCCAGTGGCAGTGCCAGAATTTGAACCCAGGTCTCTGACTCCAACAAAGCTTTTACCTTCACATACCATCTTCTGTGAGCTGGTGACATGGTTTTTATTCTAATGACAAGGTTCGTAGGCAGAACTTGATGTCCTCCCTTTGTCACCCTCCAGGGAGAAAACCAAAGTGGCCAAAGTTAGCCAAGGAGTAGAAGATGGACCTGAATCCAAGAGAGCAAAGCTGGACTCAGCTGAGACCACCATGGTCAAAAAGGCACGGTGACCCTCGGGAGCTGAGGGTGGAGACCCTTACTGTGGGTGGGTCTGTACGATTGCAAATGAGAAAAGTAAGCTCACCTGACTGGAGAGGGTTGCTGAGCTCCTTCCATCCAATGGGAGGAGGTGGCACAAGGACCGCCAATTTTGACTGACGTCCGGTGTATGGAGTTGTGTCAGAAAAACTGTTTTTCTCTGGGCATAGCAGCTCAAGCCTATAATAGCTACCGGGGAGGCAGAGATTGGGAGGATTGTGGTTTGAGGCCAGCCTGGGCAAAAAGTTAATGAGACCCCATTTCAGCCAGTGGCTGGGCCGGTGCCTGTCATCCCCCAGTGTAAATAGGAGGATCACAGTGCAGGCTGGCCAGGGCAGAAATCCTGATCCTGTCTCAAAAATAACAATGCCAAAAGGGCTGGAAGAATGGCTTAAGTAGTAGAGCACCTGCCTAGCAAGCCCAAGGCCCTGAGTTCAATCCCCACAACTGGGGACAGAAGCCATTATCTTTATACAAAAAAAAAACAAAACAAAACCAAAAAACCCCTCAGATTCCTAGATGAACCATAGACAAGTTAGTAAGGTCCTAAGTGGGCAGGAGCCATTGTAAACTTTTAACAGCCAGGCTGGGCTGTAGGTCAGTGTCAGTGCTTGCCTTGCATGCACGAGGCCCTGGGTTCAAACCCCAGCACCATAAAAGACAAAAAGTCAAACCCACAAAAAAACAAACCTTTAGTTGGTTTTTGGTTTCTTAAAAAGTTTTTTCTTTTTCCCCATTCACCAAATAACCATTAATAAGAAAAGCCTTCAGCCCTGACAGATGCTATCAGGTTGGGGGGGGGGGTCGTGGCAACATTCTGGGCAGGCACTCCACCGCTGAGCTGCACCACCCCTAGCCATGGCGTACACTTTGCCCTGCACACTTCCTAACGTGGTTTATGATAGGGGCTCACCCTCTGTTTGGGTCTGGTACAGTAATTAAACTCATTTGATAGCAATAAGTGGGAAGGGGTCAGAAGTCCGCAGTTTCTGTCGCTGGTGTTGGAGCAGGGGGTCATGCACTGGAGAGCGCGCTTCGAATGGCTGAGCCCAGAGGGTTCATGCTTCATGCCGAAGCCCGTGTTTGTTCTCCGCTTTGTAGATTTAAATGTTGAGAAAGAAAACCAGCTGATCAGAATGTCAGGTTAGAATTGCACTAACGGCGTTCTGAAGAGTTCAGAACCACAAAAGAGACTGCAGAAAACCACAAAAGTGGAACTCTCCAGTCTCCAGTGAGGCAGGCCTGGAGATTTTCTTTCTCTGACTTTTTCTTTAAGTATTGGACTGGCTTGATACTGTGAGTGTGACACAGAGGAATTATGAAGCCCTAATTTTATTGTGTATTCACAGGGCCATAATTTTCCAGGGTGAACATTGGTGTTTTGGCCAAAACCTAAAATGTGGGTCCTTTTCTTTCTTCCTTTCTGTTTGAGACTGTCTGAAGATCTTCGTGAGTTTGGTTGGGGGGTGGGGAGAATTGTTAACAAACTGAGGAGGACAAAAGCAGCTTTGTGAGGGCTGTCAGTTTATAAATCACACCCTTATAAGTGTGACACTTGGCCTTGGTGTGAAGGGTTTTATGGCTATAAGGGCCTTCTCTGATACAGCAAGCCTTTTACATTCAAATGGAGAGAGCCCCAGCTTTGTTAGCCATTCACAGCTGGAAGTTTCCCTGGAGTCAATTCTGATGGTGCCCACTGGGGTGGATCTGGAGACCTTTTGGGAGTCACCATATGTCACTATGAGGAGAATGTGAGCTGCCTGAGCAGGCGAGCCGGAGGCCTTGGCCAACCATTCCTCAGGGCTTTACAGGCCCAGGGCTTTTTCTGCCACCTCTTCCTCTGTGGGGCTGAAGGTATCAAAATACTCCCCAGCTGGCATTGTTAGTCAGCTGTTAGACTTGGGCCCTTCAGCTGGGATTCCAACCCTGAGCCCTTGAGGTCGGGAGGCGTGCTGTGCATTCCTCCCCACAATCCCTGGCATTCCAGACCTTGGCTTTGTGCAGCCTCACCAAGAGCACTGCTGCAGGAGGGCTGGTCTGGACAGGGGTTTGGCCATGGCCTTGCCACCTCAGAACACCTCATCTGTTTTGATGGAGATGGCCCTGTGATTGAATTTCTCTGCAGCTCAAAAATACATTGATTCTGGTTCTACCCTTTTGCCTAAAGAGTACAGAATAACTGGTTGGGTTATGCTCACAGTTCTTAGGATTGGGGGTGGGGAAGCAGCTATTTCCTGTTTCCTGTGAAAGGCTTCTTGTTAAGAGTCCCCTCCCCCCCGCCCCCTTTTTCCTAGACTCAATCAAATGTTGTAAAAGCCACTTTTGCTTCAACATACAGGTTGTACTCTTAAATTAGAAACTTTAAAAAACAAAGAGGATAAACAGAGTTTGTGGTTTTCACACCATCTAGGATGACGCTGGGCCTTTGTAGCATAAGTGCATCATGATAAATAATAAGGTAGGAGGAAAATGCCTGGCCCAGGCATTTTCCAAAGGGCTTGGTGGTTTGTTTGGTTCCTCTGGTGCCCTGGAGACATCAAAAGGCAGATTTCATCAGGATCACCTGATACAGACAGACAGAGCAGATAAAGAGAGAGCCCCGAGGTGCTGGTCAGGAAGGGTCCAGAGGAAGAGTGTGAATCCTTGAGGGCAGGACAGGTTTGCCAAGCACCTAACTCTGGACCAGTATTCATTCAGTGGCAGATTTAGGAGCAAAGTCCTGCTACTTTCTTCACCCCCAAATAGCCAGCTCTTTTTTTGAGTCATAGCACCTACTGTGGTGAGGCATTGTTGAGTGCTTGGTGTCTCAGTCTGCCGATGGAGAGCCAGGAGAAGTTAAATGACCTGTCAGGTCCCCAGCTGCTAAGGAGCGATAGATGTGCAGAGAGGACAGACCAAGACCCCCTGGAGTTTGTAGGATGACTTTGAGGTTTCTGAGGATGATGGGATAAAATATGTAAAAATTGGGATCATTCTGGAAAGCCTTCAGAGCAAAAGGCCACCATCATACCCCATGTTGTTGGTCGTTTCTGCCTTGTGAGGGGCTGCTGGAAATGATTAGATGACAGTGGTGGATCTCAAAGAAGCTTTAAAACACAAAGTAGGCTCCAGGCACCCGTGGCTCATGCCTATAATCCTGACTACTCAGGAGGCAGAGATCAGGAGGATCTCAGTTCACTTGCTGGAGGTGAGGTTTAAGTAAGCCTGGGCAAATAGTTCATGAGACCCTATCTCAAAAAACCGATTCAAAACGGGGCTGGCAGAGTGTGGCTCAAGTGGTAGAACACCTGTCTAGCAAGCCTAGCAAGCGTGAGGCCCTGAGTTCAAGTCGCAGTACCTCGAAAAAACAAAAAACCAAAGTAGGACTTGCTCATGGCATGCTGTGAAATACAGGTTGAGTTGTTCCCTGAGCTGAAGCAGTAGGCGATAGTCCTGGGCTCTGCGCATGTGCTTTGTGAATGGGTTCTTCCGCTTCCACCTTTCTGAGCAGTTTTCTCACACCCTTCGTTCTTCTCTTCCACCTTCCACCCTCATTGAGAACAGTCCTGATGCGTGGCTATTTTAATTATTTATCCTTCATTTTGGCACTTTTTTTTTTTTTTTGCAGTACTGAGGCTTGAACTCAGGGCCTTAACCTTGAGCCACTCCACCCACCCATTTTTTTGAAGGGTTTTTTCAACATAGGGTCTTACAAACTATTTGCCAGGGCTGGCTTTGAACTGAGATCCTCCTGATCCCTGCCTCCTGAGTAGCTAGGATTACAGGCTTGAACCACTGGCACCAGCTCATTTGGCACTTTAATTTCTAGTGCTGATTGCACTGGAGATACTTGTCACTACCTTTGTGAGTGAGTGTGCATGTGGGTATGTGTCTTGCTGGGATGGGACCCAGGCCTCTTGCACACTAGGCATGCACTCTACCACTGAGCCCCAGCCTCAGCCCTGCCCTGAGATTTTAGGCTCCCTCTGGGCAGGGACGTTTTGTTCACTTCCTTCTTCAGAAAGTGTCCGCTGAGTGTTGTCGTGGCTCTTCCTGCAGCACAATAGGCAACCCTGAAGGAGATCATTGTCACTTCAAAATTGCGTTATTGAATTGACGGTCTCTGATCAACTAAATGGATTAACCTTACACTTCATTATTTCTCATAGTCCAGGTTATTTGAGCTGTGCGAAGAGAACAGAATTCCAGAGCATACAAAGGACTTGCCCAGAAATATCTAGAAGTAAATCACTGAATGGTCTAGAATGAACTTCCAGGCCAATGAGGCTCACGACCTTGTCAGGTTGCCGGGTTTGGAAGAGGAGTGAGGTATGAGTAGGCAGGTTTACAATTCGGTAGAAACTGTAGGTAGGGACAGTCACTTGGGATGGGTGGTGGTGTCATGTCTCAGGGGAGAGCTCTGTGCCCTGGTGAATTAGGTGTGGTGGGGATAAGTGTGCCCGTCATCCTGGGTGCAGTCCACTGTGCAAATACCTGTATGTACACATATATAGTACTTGTTTATTTTTGAGATGAAGTCTCACTGCGTAGTCCACTCTGGTCTAGAATTTGTTGTGTTGGCCAGGCTGCTTAGAACTTGTGCTTCTCCTTCCTCAGCCTCCCAAGTGCTGGGATTATAAGTGTGCCTGCACCACCCTGACCAAGTGTGTAGATATATGTGTGTATCTATGTGTGTGTATGTGTATATGTATATATATATATATTTTGTTGGTGGTGGTGGTGGTACTAGGGCTTGAGCTCAGGGCCACCCTTGCTAGGCAAGTGCTCTACCACTTGAGCCTTACCTCCAGCCTTTTGTTTTTTATTGTGATAGTTGATGCACAAAAGATATGCACCATCCATACAGGTTATGAATCATAACAGTAAAGCAAACCCTATTCAACCTGGAGACCCAAATATTCTCAGTGTTACCATACTCATCTGTGGTATCCTCTGTTTTCTCCTGTTCCCTTTACCTCTAAAC